AAACATGACACCCCATCCCTGAGGGCCTCCATATCCGATCGAACGGTACGTTGTGAGGATGTAAATTGGACTATAATCTTAATCTGACAGATAGAGAGTGGAGCTCTGTCCCCGGTACTTGCAGATGTCTTATGCATTTTTAGCATAGTAACCCCTCATCGCAGTTGTCGGGGTTCGAACCCGGGACCTAACCCTTGTGGCACTCCCTTGCTACTAGTTGAGCTACGTCCACCGGTATAATCGCTTGTTTTTTTGTAACGCACTTGGCTGCGTTTTTCTTTGTGTGGGTTTATCATTTTTTTGTTTGTTTTTCATTAACGCATCATTAGATGTCTTATTGAAATATAATAGAATGCTGAAATTTGACAAATCACAAAATAAAGATAACACAAATAAGAAAGAAAAAAAACATAAAATCAATCCAAACATTTAGAATTAAACGCAAATCACTCGAAAATGTAAATTTCAACACCAATTTCATACATTAACAAAAATGCCACAAAAACATAGAAAGATGTATAATTTGTCCCGAGTTTGACAAGAAACGCTATAAAAAGTGAGTGAAAATATATGAACAAATCAGACTTATCACGCATAAATACTTTCAATCATAAATATTATTCATGTACTTCATCCATTTTCTAATAATTGTCTCGTATTCCTTGTGGGATGTTTTGTTACTCCGTATTATTTGTCTCTCTTTCTCCTTTTGGTTTGTTTTTTCATCAAAATATCTTTACATCCTCACTTTTATTACTCTTACCTTTTTTATTTTTTACAAATACTTTCTCTATTCTACTTTTTATTTATTTTATGATCTCTTTCTTATTTTTTTCATTTATCATACACGCTCTGTGTATTACCCTTGATATTTGATTATTTTCTTCTAAAAAATCTTGAAAACATAATGGGACATTTATTAGATAACGGAGGGAGTACATGTGGATCTAGTGTTGTTTTTCCTATATTTAGGAGTCTATGACACAAAATCAAGGAATTAGTCTTTTAAAAAAGGTTGGTAATGCAAAAAACAAGGCAATCAAACAACTACCTTATTATAAGAAGACATGGATTCAAATTTAACACTTATCCCTTCTTATTTCTTACTCAGATCACGTAACTTTGTTAGAGACATAATACAATATTTTTCAAATTTACACCCACAAAATTTCAAAATTTTAGACTTTATTGTTGACCATGTTCACAAGGGTCTCTGACATAGTAACAAGTAACATGTAATAAAGTATATATTAACCAAAATCAAAGCGAAAGTTAGGACGAATCGAATAATAACTACCAAGTATATGTAATATTAATTGAAGCCAAATGTGCAATCATTTCCAATACTACAATATGCACTGTGCGTATATAGCATGAGACATAGCTATTTAAATATTAGTAAATAAAATATTTATCTCTTTATTAGTAATATACAATTTTGGTAAGTTTTTTTAATAATGTCAACAACAACGTTTTTCTTGACATTTGAACAGAAACGACATAAATTTGCTCGAAGAAATAAAAGTGCTTAACTTGTGACATGGTAAAATTAGTAGCGCAAACAATTGTTTGGTCAAACAAAAGCAGTAAATTGATGACCGGAGACTTCACATTCTCTCGAAACAAAATACCCCTCCCTTTCTCAAACAAGTTCCACCTTTCCTTTTCGCACAGATTCAAAATTAAGTTCCACTTTCAAACATTTTTTTATTTGGCAAATTATTTACATTACAACAGTGTCAAACAGTGTTCAAACAGTGCACTCCGCAGTAAAGTCAAATTTATTTTCTTAATTTGTGTGAAGTCAAATGTGGAACTTGTTTCAGAAACGGAGGGAGTATAAATTATTGATGGTAAGATGGGAACGACGATAATGAAATATTGCGCTGGAATGAAGGATAAATCTAAAAAAAGTAATTGTAATAGTGTATTATTTTCAAAATTATTGAAGGTATGATGTGAAGATTAAAAAATGGGAAAATATGAATGTTATAGTAAAAAACAGAAAGTGTGAAGATATGAATGTTACCGAGGGAGTAATATTAAAGAGCTCTCTCTAGTCCAACTCTATATCCAATAGTCCATTTTAATTAATGATTTGAGCTCTAAAGATGTTTTTACTTGGACCGTAATTTGTAGGTCTGGTCTGGTCTGATCTGATCTGGTCTGGTCTAGTCTGAACTGATCTGGTCTGGTCTGGTCTGTTTTCTTTGTATTTTTATAACTATCCAAGTCTGGTCTGATCTGGTCTGGTCTGGTCTGATCTGGTCTGATCTGAACTGGTCTGATTTGATCTGGTCTGGTCTGGGACGAATTACAGTCCAAGTAAAAACATCCTAAAATTGCTATTATTGTGAGGATATGTTTTTTATCAATAAGATAAGTTACTTTTTTTGACAATAACAACATGATTCATTTCATTATTAATCATGCTCGTGATACAATTATGAATAACTAAAAAATCCATGAGTTTTCAAAAAAAAAAACTAAAAAATCCATGCAAAAACATAAATAGTAGATGCCCACACAAGAACACGAGCACTACATAAGATAAGTTACTCTTATGCATTAGTAAGAAATCTTATAGCACACTCCCTTCATCATAGACGAGATCGATCGAGATCGAGATCATATCAGTATTAAACAGATCAGACTTGACCAAATCAGATCAGACCAAATCGAACAAGAATTCGACAGTTGTAAAATATACATGAAACATATATCAACTAGATTAAACTATACTTGTTCAGACCACGCCAGAGTGCCAGACCATATTCATACACGTACACCAGGCCAGAGAAGACTAGAAAAATTCAGTCCAATTAAAAATATTTTAGTTAAGGAAAAATGGAAAACATATTACCTCTATATTTTTTGTCTACATAAAATATGCTAATATAAACTACTTGAACATGTATAAAAAGTGATATAGAGAGAAAATTTTCATTAAAAATTCAGTTATTTAACTCGTCAAAAGCTAATATTAATATGCTCTCTTTTACTTTTGAACAATATCTCACTCGTGTAATGCAGGGAACATTAATTCGTGCGATGAAGGCGAACATTTTACATAAATATTAATTATGTTCATTGTTCTTGTTGATGAAATTGCAATTTTTTGTAGATCCGGACATGTTAAAAAATTGTACAATGTGATAGAAAGAAATGTTTATCATTGTCACATCTCATGTATAGAATCCCCTTAATTTTAATGCCCCTAAATCGTACATGTATCGTATGTAAAAATGTTTTTTTAATTCTAATTATATTTCGCCCAACATCCAACCCCGGCCTTCAACCCTGTCTCACTGCCGCCTTCAGCAATTACTATCAGCGATCATGGTAAAATATACGGTACAATCGACTGTAACATGCTCATGGTACAACATACATTTTTGTAATTAGATCCAATGTAAAGGCTAAAAATTAGCTTAATGCTTGTTGCTGCTTTTCTTTTTCCATCGCCACTCTTGTTGTTTGGCTTTGCTCCTTTTTCTTTTTTTGTTTCTTTTTTCACTTTCTTTTCTTGCTTTTCACTTTCTTTTGTTGATTTTCACTTCTTCGTTGCTTCTCAATTTTCACTCCTCTTGTTGTTATCTTATTTTAGTTCTTTCTTTTTCTTTATTTTTTTTCTTTGACATGCTTTAATTTGTTATTTAATTATTATGTAAATGTATAATTTAAAATATTGTGAATGTTCGAGTTTGTTTTTTCTTCTTTTTCCAATCAACCTTATTACTTAAGTTTTTTTAATTTGTGCATTGTAAAAAAATTTAGGCATTAATGTTTTGTTCTTCTGTTTTTAACTCTAAGATGAATATTGTTAGTTTATTAAATATTACTAGTATGTGTTATTTACTAACATGCGTTTTGTAATTCAAGAACAAAAGATTATAAATAATTTTTTATTTAAAATTATTATATTTCTCATTGTAAGTTAAATTATATTTCATTGCTCATTTGGTAAGTTACACATGTTCGATCATCTGGTACTGATTTTAATTATGCTCATTTTAAAATGTCATATTAATGCATATTTCGAAATCATTATATTAGATTAGTATAAGAGATAGATTATATATACATGTGAGCAGAGACAAGAGGTCATGTTTGATGTTCAGTGAAAATGTCTTGATTCTCAACGAACAAAGCTTATGATTTTCATATCATTGTTCATAAGGTAAGTTATGTATGCTCATATTTTTATTGATACATATATTAAAATAGTCATTTTTATTTAATTTAGATTCAATATGATAATATTTGCGTACCCCTATAGCACAATCTTAATTTATGTGAAAAGCCTATTGTACCAATTAAGTTGAAATGGACGGAGTCTTTTTGAAATATTACTCTTATAATGGTGTTTTCATTGGGACTTATTCCGATCTCGGACCATGCATAGTAGACTAGATATACTTAAACATAAAAAATAGGACTTACACAAATTAGACTGAACTTAAATAGATCAAACTAAGGCATCGACTTTTTAAGGGTAAATATATACTTTTAAATAATACTCACTCTGGTTCTTAATGAAGTTTACACTTTGACTTCACACATATATTAAGAAAATAAATTTGACTTTACTGTACAGTGCACTATTTGATACTGTTTGGTACTATTTTGCACTGTTTGATGTAGATTTGTTTGACAAATAAGGCAAATAAAGAAGTGTAAAGTTTAATATGGGACGGCCCAAAAAGGAAAATGTAAAATTCATTAAGAATTGGAAGGAGTACTAACCATCATTCATAATTAAACCAATAGTAATAAATACTTGAAAACGATTTCTAATAATTTCAACTAATATGGAGTCACTTTTTGATAATAAGTCGAGTCATTGAAGATATAAAAAACTAATATCATATCATCAAATAAATGATCTTTGAAATTAGAGTCACGTATTTGATATATTAATATTAGCTTTAATATATACTACTATGTATATGATATATATAATGTATAAGCACACCTAGCTTAGCTAGTAAATTAAAGAAGCTAATTATATGATATGCTGGGGAAGATGGAACTCAAGTTTTGGTCCTCCAGCTCCAACATACCCTATATCAACAATTTACCTATCATCTTCCTCTCCCTATCAACAATTGCTTTCTCCTTCCTATTATCATCCATAATAGCAAAGCTGACCAAGAAAAGACCACTCCCGCCAGGTCCATGGAAACTGCCCATCATTGGGAGCCTGCACCATTTAATAGGTGAACTCCCACATCGTTCCCTCACAAGATTATCAAGAAAATACGGCCCGCTGATGCACTTACAGCTCGGCGAAGTGCCCGCCATAGTCGTTTCGTCCCCGGAGATGGCGAAAGCCGTGACGAAAACCCATGACCTTGCCTTCTCCAACAGGCCTAAGCTCATGGCCCTAGATTTGGTCTTTTACAAATGTACAGACATTGCCTTTGCCCCTTATGGAGATTACTGGAGGGAGATGCGCAGGATATGCATTTTGGAGCTGTTGACCGCCAAGATGGTTAAATCCTTCGGCTCAATCCGGCAGGATGAGCTCCGCAATCTCGTCTCCTCCGTTACCGTGTCGTCATCGTCGTCGGTCGTGAACCTGATGAGAGAGGTGATGTGGTTTAACAGCTCGATGACATGTAGGGCCGCGTTTGGGAGAATGAAGCTGAGCAGTAGAGATCAAGAAGAGCTGATTGCCAAGGTGACGGAGGTGCTGACTTTTGCAGGCGGTTTTCACGTGGCGGATCTGTTTCCGTCCAGGAAATGGATCCCTTACGTGTGTGGGAGCAGGTCAAGGTTGCTGACATTGCACCGTGGGCTGGACAAAATTTACGAAAGTATGATCAAAGAGCATGAAGAGAAGACGTGCAGGTCAAATGGCGGCGGCGACCGAGGTACTGCACCAAATGAGGAAGAAGAAGACATCGTTGACGTTTTACTCCGAGTGGGGCAGGTTGGGGAACATCGTTTGACTCGAGACAACATTAAAGCTGTCATCAATGTGAGCTTTTATATTCTTTTCCCTAATCTCCATATTATTTACCAAAATGCGGGCATTTGTGGATTTGTGGTCCGACAAGTCAAAATATTACTCTTTACGTCTCAAAAAGATCGATACATTTTGATTTTTCTTAATCAATGATTATTAAGTTTGACGAATGATATCTTTTAATACAAAATTATTTAAATTATGAAAATTATATGAACATATTCTTTATTAAAAAATCTTACATAAAAGTATAAAATTTATAAATTACAAACAAATATACTACATCTGTCCCGGAATTATCTCCTTATTTGTCTGGGCTCGGGTTTAAGATAGTGAGAAATGTGTGGTGAAGAGTTGTGCAGAGGAAAGAGAAATGTGTAAGAATGGTTGTGAACTACAAATTCTTTGTCGAAAAGGAAAGACGAATGAAGATAATTCCGGGAAGGAGGAAGTAATACCTAAAATCATTGTGTAATCTAAAATGAACAAAAATAAAAAAAAAAAACCTAGTCGGAATTGGGTAATCCGACTAGGGTATTGGGATTAATTTTTGGTGACAACTCCGGTACCCATTTAAAAAATGGAGTATCGTACCGACCATTCACTTGATTGGTTCAAATAATTACATCATTTTTAATTTAGATTTAAATAATTCAATTACATCATTCTGATTTGGTCCATGTGGATAAAGGTATGGTGCCTTGTACCATAGAATCTACCTTAATTTTTATGTTTTGCAAATTGTTTACGTGTAGGATTTGAAAAATGTTTTGTCAAATTAAGAGCCCGTTGGTGACTTTGTATATTACATGCCGCATGCATGCAGGACCTATTCTCAGCTGGGAGTGAAACAACCGCGACAAGTGCAACGTGGGCAATGTCCGAGTTGATTAGGAACCGGCGTGTGATGGATAAGGCACAAGAGGAGGTCAGAAAAACCATTAATGGGGGGAAGACGGCAGTAACCTCATTTGACGATGATGAAGTGGAAAAGCTAACGTACCTAAAGCTAGTGATAAGAGAGACTCTGAGGCTGCACCCGCCCATCCCGCTGCTGCTCCCAAGGGAAAGCAGCGAAGAAACAGTGATCGGCGGGTTCACCATACCTCCCAAAACCAGAGCCATTGTGAACGCTTGGGCAATCGGAAGGGACCCTAAGGTCTGGGAGGACCCAGAGACTTTTTGGCCTGAGAGGTTCATGAATGAAAGTGGTGCCGCGGCGGATGTGCATGGCAATCACTATGAGCTGTTGCCGTTTGGTTCAGGGAGGAGAGTGTGCCCTGGGGTGCGCTTTGGGTTGGTTAATGTCACCCACTCTCTGGCCGCTTTGCTGTACCACTTCGACTGGGAGTTGCCCCCTGGAGTGACGATTGAAAACTTCGACATGAGTGAGACCATGGGGTTGAAGGCCACCAGAAAGAAGGATCTTTGCTTGGTTGCCAGGCCATACTCCCATCCTTGATCACTACATCATCTCAAAGAGAGTGGTCGATATGATCATCTTTATGACGTAGTGCTTCGTATATTCATGCATCCATGCATTTCCCTGCATGGCCTGTATCAATAATATGCATGATAATATATGAGCTTTATTAATTGTATGTGCATGCACGCATGGTATACTCCCACAATTTAATACTCCGTAAATAAAACGCAAATTGTGATGTTTTGTATGGTTAGGAGTACTATATAATTACCGAGTATATGTTTCCTTAATTATATTGCTTAAAATATAGATGAAGTTCTAAAGTAAGGTTAAGTACACTTCTTCATTCTCAAAATAAGACTTATTTAATCTTATAAAAAATTTGTCTACTTAGCTTCTTGATTTGGGTTTCTATATTTCTCAATCGGTTCTGCTCTACTGCGACAATGTTTCTGCTTCTTATCTCGAAGTCAATCCCATTCACCATGATCGTAGCAATCACATCAAAATAGATTATCACTTTGTTCGAGAAGGGGTAGTTCATGCATGGCGATCTTGTTGTTAAATACATCCCTACTCAATTTCACTTAGCAAGCATGTTTAATAAAAAATTATCTAGTCAACGTTTGTTTTTTTGAAGTCCAATCTACACGTCATTACAATGTAAATATATTATGATCGGTAGTGTAAATATACTACGAAGCTACCTAATTGGGCAAGCCATTATATTATTCCATAAACCTCCTCCTCATCCTCCCCCTCCCCCCCTCCCCCTCCTCCTTCTCCTTATGAGGATTTTTTTAATGATCATGGCATAATTTTTCAAAAATCTTGTCCTCAGACTCCACACCAAAATGGAGTGGCTGAGTGTAAACATCTACTTGAATTAACACGTACTTGAATTAGCGTAAACATACTTGGGATTTAGTACCATTTGATGCTAAAAAGAATGTGGTTGGGTCTAAATGAATTTATAAGACTAAGTATTTGGTTGATGGGTCTGTTGATCACTATAAAGCATGGTTGGTTGCTCAGGGGTTTAATCAGCAGACACATATCGATTTGGCTGAGACTTTTAGCCCTGTTGTTAAACCCACTACTGTTCATCTTGTTCTTACTTCAGCCGTGTCTTTTGGCTGGCCAATACGCCAACTTGATGTGAAAAATGCTTTTCTTCATGATCATCTTACGGGGGAGGTTTATATGCATCAACCACCTGGATTTGTCCATATATCCTCATTTTCCCCATCACATGTGCCGGCTTCGTAAAGCCATTTATGGTCTCCAGCAAGCACCTCGTGGTTTTGTCTGCAGCCGGTCTATAATTCTTTTTATATTTTTCGACGCAATTCAGATATTATATACATGTTGCTATATGTTGATGATATTATTGTTACAAAAAATTCTCCCAAATTAGTTACTCATTTTTTATCCCTTTTGGCTAAGTGTTTTGCCATGAAGGATTTGGGGATTTGCATTTTTCCTCAGGATACATGCATCTCAAACTTCATCGGGTTTATTTTTTTCTCAGCATAAGTATATATTTGATCTTCTTCTTCGTTTTCACTTCCACACTTTAAAACCTGTCTGTTCTCCTCTACCTACTCGCACCAAACTTTCCCTTACTGATGGGGAGCTTCTTGTTGATGCCACGTAGTACAGGAGTATGGTAGGTGCATTACAGTATTTGACTTTGACTAGGCGAGATATTACTTTTGTTGCACACTTGGTTTCTCAGTTTATGCATGCACCCCGTACTTGACATCTGTTGGCTGTTAAGCGTACTTTTAGGTATCTTCAGGGTACATCCACCCATGGGCTTCTCTACAGGCTTCTCATGAATCTCCAATGGTAATCGCTTATTCGGATGCTGATTGGATCGGCTGCCCTGATACAGGTCGTTCTATATCCGGCTATACAATTTTTATAGGTCTGAATCTAATCTTCTAGCGTTTGGAGAAGGAGTCCACTGTCTCGAGGTCCTCCACTAAAGTTGAATATAGAGCCGTGGTGTTTATTGTTTAGGACACTCTTTAAGTTCGCTCAATTTTGTTTGAGTTGGGATTCCCTGTTCGTGTGCCTACTGTGCTATTTTGTGATAATGTCTCTGCCTCATATCTATAGGTTAATCTCATTCATCATGCCAGAAGCAAGCATTGCATATTAATATTGATTATCATTTTGTTCGTGAACGGGTGGCTCATGGTGATCTTGATACGTTCGTAATTTCCATATCTATGTTTATGTTTTTAATTAGTTTTGCTTAAACTTTTACTTTGGAAATTACACACTTTTGGTGTAATAGATTAGATTGTTAAATTCTTGTAAATAGGTTACATTAGATATATTCTGAGCTCAAGTAGGTTTTGGTCACTCAAAGTACAGTTGGTGAACCCAAAAAAGTGAAGAGAAGGTGCAAAAGTTCAAAGACAAAAGAAGATCCTGAATTTTGGTCTATACTCGGTCGAGTATTAGCTATACTCGATCGGGTATTAGGTTGGAACTTCAAATCGGATCAGATCCGAAGACAAGGGAACATGCAGGGAAGATTTCAACCACGATTTTGTGTCTATACCCGATCGGGTAGACCGACATACCCGATCGGGTATGCCTTTGAATTGCAAACGAAGATCGGTCGAGTATAGCCCGAATACCACTTTCTAAGCATACTCGACCGGGTATTCATATATACTCGATCGGGTATACACTTAGAAAATAGCCTGAAACCGGTCGAGTATACCTCGGATCGGGTGTTACACACATACTCGATCGGGTACCATGTATATACCCGATCGAGTACCCGAATCCCATCCCAAAAACCTATAAATACACCTCCTTTCCTTCACAAAAAGATATCCAATCCCTTGTACATCTAAGCTCAGTATAGAATAGCTCTTTCTTTATATTTTTCATCATGTTTAGTCTCCAAATGAGGAGCTAAACTCTTCCATCTTGGTTTTGCTACTTTGAAGCTTAATGAATTTGTAAGTTGTGAGTTATTTTCTTTAATCTTCTTCCTTGAATATTAATTCCTTCTTTCAAAATACTATCTCTATATCAAAGTTGGGGAGTGTTACTAAGATGACAATTAGTTAACATCTTGACATTGGTTATAGTAATAGCTATTTCTTCCTCTATGATAATATTGGGGAGTGTTACTAAGATGACAATTAGTTAACATCTTGATATTAATCATAGTAGGATTCATATATTTTAATATTCTTTCTTGAGTATTAATTAATTCCTATTCATATTTCATGTAATATCTTAAACATTACTTAAAGTATCAACTAGTATTGTTTCTCATATTAATTATTACTAGAATCAATCGGTTAATACGCTTGTTATTAATCCGGTTCTTTCAACGGTAGTAAACTTGGAATGTTAATGCATGCATCTCATGGTTAATATGCCAAGGGGAATTAATTATATTGATTAAACCAATAAACCGCTTGTGTTGAGGTTATCAATCTCAATCGTTTTCATATTATGTTTATGGCTACTATCAAGTTAATATACGGCGCTTGTTCTATATTGACTCGATAGTAAGTTTTATTAATGAACGCATCTCGTTATTAATAACTACCCTCGATGAACTGGATATACTCCTCGATTGAGTATTCGAGAGGAAGATAGTTAAAGATATAACCGGGATCGACGAACATTTCATTAAGTGGATAAAAGCAAAACCAAGTCTTCATCTCATTGAATTAAACTCATATAGGTTGTTTATCTTAGTGTTGTTAAAACAAGCAAATCTAAACCCCCCTTTGTTGCTACTTTAATAAAAGAAAAGTATTCCTTTCCCTGTGGATACGAACCTTACTACACTATACTACGTATTAGTGTTGTATTGATTATTTATTTTGAGTGCACCTAACGACGAGTGCACGTCAAATTTGGCGCCGTTGCCGGGGAAAGGCAATTAATTTTTCTTTTATTTCATTTCAAGAAAAATCAAAAAAAAAAATTAAAGAGTGTTTATTTTTCTATTTTCTGAGCTTAGTGGAGTTTATGGTTAAACATCGTTCCATAAACGAAATCACATATCACAAAAACCCAGAAATAGAACAAACTTTCGAGCGGTTGAAAAGTAAATTTTCTAACACCGACTCGGAAGAATCATCTTCCAGAGATTCATACACCGCTAGCTCTAGTTCTAGCGACACCGAAGAGTCAACCACAATGGCTCTTGAAACAAGAACACTGAGGGAGCTCACAGCTCCAAACCTCAACCAACAACCACTGTGTATTACCTTCCCTACACTTGATGAGGGTAATACGTTTGAGCTAAAATCTGGGCTCATTCATCTGCTGCCATCCTTCCATGGCCTGAGGGGAGAAGACCCGAACAAACATTTATCGGAGTTCCACGTCGTTTGCACAAGCATGTGCCCAAACGGTGTGACAGAAGAACAAATCAAACTGCGGGCATTTCCATTTTCACTGAAGGATACCGCAAAGGATTGGCTATTCTATCTTCCTTCAGGAAGTATAGGAACATGGGCGGCCATGAAGAAAGCGTTCCTGGAAAGGTACTACCCTGCCTCTGTCTCATCCTCTCTAAAAAAACAAATCAGCAACGTGGAGCAGAAGGATGATGAATCGTTCTACGAATATTGGGAACGATTCAAGAAATTGTGTGCAAGCTGCCCTTATCATGGCTATTCAGAGCAAGACCTCATTTTATATTTCTATGATGGTCTTTGCAATGAAGATAGGCGGATGATAAACGCCGCATGTGGAGGAGGGATTGTCAACAAGACCCCTTCTCAAGCTACAAACCTCATCTCGGAGTTGGCCGAGAATTGTAGGCACTATGATCGGCGATCAACAAAACGAGTTATGGCGGCAGAATCCAACAACTCATTGGAATGTCAAGTAGCCGGCTTGACTTCTTTGGTTAAAGATTTTCTCTTAAATCCGAAACCGCAAGAAGTCAAGGTCTGCGGCATATGCTCGACACAAGGGCACCCCACCGACTCTTGCCCAACACTACAAGAGGAGAACGTTGAACAAATCAATGCTTTGGGTTTCCAAAATCAAAAGAGGTATAATCCTCAAAGCAACACCTACAATCCGGGATGGAGGGATCATCCTAATTTAAGGTACGGAAACTCTCAACCTCCTCAACCATCAAATCCTCCTCCTCCACAATATAAACAACAAGGCCAAACTTCTAGCTCGAATATGTCAACCGAAGACATGATTCGATCACTTGCCATGA